TGTATGACAATTGTACTTGCATAGTTTTCTTGTATTCAATACTCATTTAAGGCTTTCAATGAAGAGAGTTGGATTGTTCTTTGGTTGTTTAAATTTTTTTGGTATTTTTTGTACATTAATTTGAAATTTAAGAAATAATTACTCAAAGTAATGCTATATAAGAACTGCTGTTGATTATTTAGCACTAGTATCAAATGTATTAAAACCTCATCAGTTCGAAACTAATAATTTTTCCTGCAGGCCTTTCGATATTGTCCGCCGGCGTTTGTATGAATGTGTGCCTGTGTCAATATGATTTTTAACGCTTGTTTTTAATGTAAATTGGAAGCTATAAAAATTGTTTTTTCTTTTTTTGTTTTTATAATAACTGTTGCTGCAATTTTTTATGGTTTTGCTTTATGCTATTGTGCTTTTTTATGCATTTACTTATTTAATCACAAGTTGATTTAATTGTGTAAGTTTTGCATGAGATATTATTTATTTAACGGTATTATGGCGCGCGTTTAAAAAAATCTTTACCTTTATTTATGCGGCACTTGTTATTGAAGTGCGCGGCTTTTAAACGTTTGGCTTTATTTTTTTGTTTTGCTTTCAACTACTCTAGTTTTGAGGGATTTGATTTTATCGTGTGCAATACTTGTAATTTATTTCGCCCAAAAGCATGCAATGGTTTATGATTATTTCGTGATTTTATTATTGGAATTTTTTTGAGTAAATAAATTCAAGTATTGACCGTTTAACCAGTTATATTACACCAGCGTATTGTTTCAAAGGTGCTAAGCGCTTTTGCTTGCAGGTTTTTGCTTTCAATGGGAAATTGTTGTATTTTTTCCTTCTTTTTCAAAAAACAAATTTATTTGGAATTTTTTTTGGCATTCCTTCATTGCTGGATAATTTCAAACATTTCGGTTGTGGTCTCGTGTTTGGCAATTCGCAAACATTTTTTTTTTCGACATTTTGTTTTTGTTTGTAACAATAACTTGCATAATATGCTGGTTAAACCTTTGGGTGCGTAGGTGTATGTGTGGGTGTGCTCTAGGTGTTGTTGGCATTAAGTAAGCAAAGTTTCTGTTTTTAATTTTTTTTTATAATTTAATAACTGTAATACTTTAGTTATTTAGCATATATTTTTTGTTTATTTAGATAAGATGGCATATTGTTGTTAATTATTGTGGATTTTTAAGCAAATGTGTTAGTTTGTATTTCAAAACTTAGTTACGTTTTTATTAGTGTTTGCTTGGCAAAATCCAAAATTTTTTGTTCTATTTATTATTTAGTTTTTCGTTTTTAATTACAGACATACAATGTGAGGCCCACATAAACGGCAAGCTGACAATGTACACTCCCACTAGACCACTGCGTGTAAACTACTCTTATTGAAATCAAACAAATTTTCGACGTTTAGTTCATTTTATTAACCAAAAAAAAATTTTTTTGAATATATATGTGTTTTTATATAACATTTTTTGTTTTAGACAACAACAATGGGTGTATGTTTTTTAGTTGTTAGTAGTTTAATGCTTTTATTTTGTCGTTAGTTTTGTGGAAGCATTTAAACAGCAATTGTGTGTGTGTGTTTATATTTATTGGTGAAAATATTTAATTATCTTTCATTTTTAATAACAAAGAAATATACGCAAAACACACTGAGTTATATTTATGTATGTGAAAAACAACAAAGACACATTTAAAAAATTGTAATTGTAAAATGCATAGTAATAGTTGTAAAAACCATGAAATATAAGAAAAAATTATAATATTCACAGCTAATATGAAATATAAGAATAAAATCAAAGTATGTTCGTAAATAAAAAATATGGTGAAAATTGCTGCGCGCTGAAAAGTAGGCTATACTTGATTTTTGTGTGACTCTTTGTAGCTTTTAATATTATGGCTCTATTGTATGAATATTAAGCTAAAGCACTTGAAAAAATGCTTAAAAAACTGTTAGACAATTATCTCCCACTTAGTAATCAATATAAGTATTACAGTTATGGTGCCAATTTGTAATAACTTAAGTGAAGCACGATTTAAAGTGGCTTCTAACAGCATAAAAGGGTATAAAAAGATCTTTATCTTGATTTTGGTCATTCAGTTTGTATGACAGCTATATGCATGTATGCTATAGTTGTCCGATATCGGTGGTTCCTATAAATAGTAGCTTTTTGATGAAAAAAGGATGTGTGCAAAATTTCAGATCGATATCTCAAAAACTGAGCGACTAATTTGTGTATATACAGATAAATCGATATATAGATAGATGGGAGTTATTAAAAACGAATGAGGTTAGATATCGACCTATCCTGGAATAAGTGACAGCTGTTCTAATTTCTGTGAAAGAATTCTTAAAACACAGAATTAAGTTTTAGTTGCTTGGTAGAAAATCCGAAATGAGCTCATCACGAACAGCTGATCTCGAATGTAATAATGGATTCCAAAAAGATATTGTAGCTTTTTCAATAAAAACCTTAAGTTTAGCTTAAAAGCTGTTATTACAAAGCTCTCTCAAAGCTCTACGAATGAAAATTGTTAGGTAAGTAATAATTGTTGGTTAGAAATTTGAGTTAACGATGAACTTTTGTAATCTATACAAAAGTGAGAGGAACATCCTGCTAAGAATATAATGGGAGTGGTAAGTTCTGGTATCAACTATAACATCTGATTATGACGTTTTAGTAGCACGGACTAGTAACTCTAAGATTTTTAAAAATCACACGGATTTCCAGAACGAGTATGACACCTATACCTATTTCACCTATGTGAGTAGATATATTATATATAGTCGTATGTATATACATCCTTAATCAAGTATAGCCTCTTTTAGTGCATAAATTAAAAAATGTAAAGCCTTTGCAAATTCGGTTTCAATACATCAGTAGCCAAAATAAATTAAATAAAAAAATAAATTAATTAAAATGTTTTTTATAGATAATGCCAAATTAGTGATTCTTTATCAAAAACATCATGAATAAAAATAAATTTACTTAATATTGCCTAAATGGAATTATAAAAGATAATGAAAAATAAAACTAAATACAATTTATATCCTTATTTAACTTGGTACTGCTTTTTATTTTAATTACTGCATTTCTTATTAGAATTCTGCGGAATTGTAGAAATAGCGAGTGGATATGATAAATGAAAAATATCATTTGTTTGCTTTCGTTTGATCATGCGCTTAGAGAGGCATATTTCAAAGCGGTGGATTGTGAAGCTTTTGCGCTTTTTCAATTACGAATATTAATTTATATTATTTCATTTCCAAGTGAAGAAGTATTATGGAAACTCTTTGAACTTACATGCGTGAATTGCGAAGCTTTCATATTTTCGTTTTCGAATATATATAGATGGATAGTTCTGAATGAAGCTTTCGAATATTTACTCTTATTTAGTAACTTTACATATATTGTGAAAGTCCTTTAGATAAATTATGAAGCTTTAATATTTTCCACCTTAAAATATATGTAGATGGACACTTCGAATGAAGATTTTAGATTTCTGGTAGCCATAAAAGTTCTTTAGCTTAAGTGGACCCTAAAGCTTTAAAATTTTGCATTTTCAAATATAGGTAGATATTCTTATGCTATGAAAGCTCTTTAAGCTTCATAGTGCAATTATATATATTAAATATTAACTAAGATTTTCCTACAGATTTTTGAATCGAAAGATTTACCTAAACTTTAGCTCCACAAAAGTTTCAGCTTTTCCTGAATTTTGTTGTTAAGATTAGAAACTGAAACGTGGGACTGACATTCTATCAAAAAATAACTATTATACTGCCGACATATTACATCTCTTGCATTTGGCTAGAGCTTTCACATATTTTGGTGAATATGCCGTTGTTTCGAATTTTCTTGTTATAAAAGCCCTACGGCTTCTTTATTTTTAATACCTGCCTTGAAATATGCATACCGAAGCGTTGAAAGTCTTCTGGAGCTTTCACACAATATTGGCGCCTTTGAAACTTTCAATTAATATTGAAACTCATTCACAAAATTTTTAAATAACAAAACTCAAGCAACTTCGAAAATCAACACAACTGAACTTAGAACATAAACAGAGAATTAATAACAGTTTTTTACAGAACGCAAACAACTATTTCAAAAGCTACTTGCAAAACGAAAAAAAAATGCATTTTAAGTGCAAATTTTTCTTACACTCAATGTATATTCCAACAAGGAGTGCAAAGTGGTATGCAAGTAAATTGTATATACAACAAAACTAGAAAAACTTTAAGGTATGCGTTCTATAAGTAAAAATATTCTGCATTAAATGAAGTTTTATATAAGTGCATTATGTATTAACAGCGTAACCAACTAAACGAAGAAATTATAAGTAATCATAATGGGAAAGCGGAAAGCTCTGAAATCAAAAACGCAATAATGGTATTATTACTTCCAATTCTGATGCAGTTGGAAATGCAAAACAGTTTCTTACAAGTAAATTGTTAAATTTTTTATATAAATACAGTTAAAAAGCGCTGAGCACATATACAAAATGTAAGCTTACCTTTGTTGGCAAAAACAGTTTTTTTGCTTAATATTTTCCTATATTATACTCCGAATAAAAGAGCTTTTGATTATGTTATTTATAAAAATAGTCAACATAAATAACAAATATTTATATGCAAGCTTCTTTTCGCTTAATATCTAAGCATACGTTTTATGAATGATGTGTAGTATTCAAATAAATCCCCCTAAAAGTGTGCTAGCGTAATATTAGTAAGCTTTATTCGTGTAAAAAAAAAATCATTTTTGGCGTAAGTTTAATGCATTTGCACCTAAACTTTTGTTATCTCCTATCTTTTTTACTCAAACTCGATTCTTTTCTTATTACTTCAAGAGTAAACTACTTTTTTAGTGAGTTGTTTTTTAGCTTTTTCTTGTTTTATATTGATGCTATTGTTTTTTTATTTTATTTTATTTATTTTCATATTTTTCTTTTTTCGCTCTTCCTAACTATTTATATTTTCTATTCCTATTGTTCCCCCAGCAACTTACCTGTTGTACATCAGCACATCCGGTTTCCACAGCTTATTTGGTGTTATCCGCAAATCCTTCACGCCTCCATATTCCGATTCATTCCATCGTAAATTATAGTCATTCCACTCCTATTTGTTGTTGTTATTTTTATGATAATTGCATTTGTGTTAGTTGGTTAAGCATGGAGAAGTTGAGTATTGAGTAGAGTAGATAAAGATAGCATTGGTAAATAAAAAACTTATGATGGTTTGATTTTTTCGTTTAATTCAAATTATCATAAAGTGTACGCCATATGCGATACATTTTTATGTGCTACTACAATACATACTTAAAGCTATACGATTTCTTGCAATAAAGCTTTTTATTATCACAAAATATTGCGCAATAAAAATAAGTTTAATGAATGCTTTATGAACGCTCTTATATGTTAGTGATATAAAATATATTTGGACAATTCCAGACTCGTAATTTTACTCTGATGTTTGTTAAATATCTTGAGCACCTGTAAGATATATTATATATCGATTCGCGTAAAATTATTACCAACTGGTTTTTCGTCAAATAGTTGAACATCTTCACAAAAAGCTCGGCTAAAAGCTCAAGTTTGAGATAAAACAGTAAAAAAATTTTTTTTCTATGGATAAATGTCTCTCTTCTCTTAGAAACTCTGATATGATATGTTAACAAAGACGTATTCCACATTCGACAAAATAAATATTGGCAGTTAAAAAAGCTGGTATTTCGAAAAAGAAACTCAGAAAAACTTTGTGAAATTTGCGAATATCAACAGATATTGAAACTTATTAGATTTAGTGAGATCCTAAGCGAAGCGAAAAGGATTCGTCTGATGGTTTTTAAGAAAAAAGAAAAGGTTTTCTTAGGATTTTGTTCTTATCCTAATATGCATAGTGATTGAGAGCTCAGATATTAGACCATCTCATTGCACTTCAAATCCCTTGATGGCTTTGGATTATTGTTGAAGTAAATTATGGTATGGATTTTACTTTTTCTGCATAAAAATCTTTCTAAGAATAGTGTATCTTCATACTCCTTTAGTTGATTCTGCGGTCCACACAAAAGCTCAGTAATTTTGAAATTTATTAAACCAATGAAAAATGAACTACTTTTTAAAAAACACTTCATGATTTACTAATTAGTGTATGACATTAATATTTGACCAAGACTATAGTGAATTCAAGAGCAAAACACTTCCTAAGATAGGAGTTTCCTTTATTTGAAGATTTGAAATTGCGTGGAACTCTGTGAATCTATTTCACTGTCACAATAGTTTCTGGTTACTACTTCACTGCTAGGGCTTCACTGTGTGTTTAACCTAACTTCAACCACTATCGCGGAAATACTGCAAGAAATCTTATAGTATATTTACAAAATAAGATAAAATTATGATATTTCCTAATATACGATACTGATAAATATTAATATATAAATATTATAAGTCTTTTTTGGCAAACTAAATATTTATAATATATAATATAATAAATATTAGGCATACTCGTATACCTGTTTATATACTATGTAAATATGATGTTAACTACAATTAGATAAAAAATGAATTTGCGACATTTTGGCTTATGAAAATTTATGAAAAAAGCGACTGAAATCTGTACAAAGAGTTTTTTCTTTATGGTTTATAAGCAGCATGAAACTTAGGAGAATGCAAAAAAATTTGTACAAAAGCAATCGAAATGCAGCTTATATGCGTATTTTTGTATATTTTATGAAGCAATATGTAGTTCATTAAACTTTTTAAAGAAAATATGGCGTAATAAAATGAGTACTATAAAAAAGAAATGTATGCATTGGAGACAATTTTACTGGGTTATAATCACAAATAAATGTGTGAAGAGCAGCAGAAAAGTTTTTTTTTTAATAATTAAATACTCGTTGCATAAAAAATAGTATAAATATAAATATATATATTTGTATGTATGTACAAAATGTAAAAGAATATTTTTTGAAGAGATTAGTATATGGTTTACATTATAATATATAATGAGTGCTACATGCAAAATTACAATCAAGCCGTCTTAGAAAAAGGACAACAAAATAAATAAATAAAATAAAATTTCAAAATGATACAAAAAATTAATTAATCTTTTTTTATTTTTATTACTCAATATTTAAATGTGTGTATGAAACAGTGAATTTTTTTAATTTTGACATAGTATATTATTCAAATATAATTTGACTATAATTTTTTCTAAAAACTACAAAAAACTAGGAAAGTATGATAATAATAACGAAGAAGAAAAATATTTCGAAACTAATTATGATTTTTTAATTATTTCGTAAAAGTATTAAACGAACTAAACATTTTATTATATTTATAAATGTCAAACTCTGAAATCTCTCTTAAGGCATTGTTCGGCAGGAAGTTATAATCAAGATACATTTCGAACTAAAACAGAATTAGGATTGACACTTATGCTGAGAAATCTCAATTAACATACCACTTACGAATTATTATTATATAAAGTTGGCTTGCTAACATAAGTATCAATAATGCTTCAATTAGTGACCAACGTAAAACCGTAGACCATCAGCTGACACGACTTATCGTTTGAGAGCGTAATGTAAATGACCACCGCTTCTACCGTTCGTAAAGTGAGATAACCACAAAAATTGGATTTGTCTGGTAGAAACGAGTCAGCTGATTACTCTCTTAAAACGCAGGCTTGAGAGTCTTGATATTTTGTAGTAATTAAAAAATAATCTTCAATATATTTGAAATATTCTTAAACTAACTCAAAATCTTAATCCAATACAATTATTTATAAATAGGTAGACTATTTCTAATAGTTGGATTTTAGTTTTGATATTTTCGTTATGAAAAATTCTGCCTGAAAAGCTAGATGTGTGCAAAATCATATATATAAATTGAACAATGGGAACATTGTTATTGCATTAGTATACATACAGTATTAAAATTTTCAATAATAACTTTTAAGAAAAAGAAATAAATATTAACTAATTGTTTTTTCTTTTTTTAAACAAATTAAAATACCAAAATTACAAATTAAGTTTCTGGTTACTATAAATCTTATTTATACAGATATTAATTATTTTATTATTTATTATTTTTGCATATTCAAATAATTTTTTCATGCTTTATTAAAAATATATTAATAGTTCAAAAAATGTCATACTTTTGGGAGACGAGCTACGCAATTTATTTAGATTGCTTTTTAATTTCGAAGGCCTAAAAACATATAAAACTTAGTGGACAAGCGTAATTTCACTTCAAGTGCTTAAAGAAGCTAAATTTATTTCGGAGAAGTGGTGATGCTAATTACCCTTTTAACGATCGCGAATATAGTTCGTTTCTGTTCGTTATTAAACGTTAATGATTGGTGTTATTCGATTACAGCCACATCGACGGTATTCGCAATCGAATTTGATTGCAAATGGTGTTTTTTTGGGGTCTATAAATTCTTAGTAGCGTAGCTTTCAAAGCAGCTGTCAGGATAAAGACATGTGTTTGACTTTATGTTCGGTATATGAGAGAAAATTATTTTGCATACTGGAAAAAGTCTAAAAATCGTTGAGTTTTTTTTCTAAATTTAGTTATTATCGTTACATCTTCTTCAGCGGCGAATCTTATTTCTGGAAATATTTTATGTAGATAATGAAGCTACACAAGTACTACTGCAACAAATACAACATCAACAATTAAGTAGTAGCGTTGTACTGATCTTCTTCATCAAATTTCAAAAAACAAAAAAGTGAAATTTCAGGATTAGCCTTTTCATATTCCGAGCTTTCGGGACTCTCCATATACATATTTTTATATAAATTCTAACTCTAAAATTTATTTTCTCATAACTTCAAGTGTTATTATAACCTGGTTTTGGGACTGAGTGTTTCAAAACCAAATTCCGGGATTTGGAAAATATATATTTAGGAAAAAATGTTTTATAGGTTTTATTATATTTTTGCCAAAAAAAAAAAATAATAATGATAAAAATAAAGAGTAATCGTTTAAAGCCTGGCTTAATTTACCGTAATTCGTGATTTTCCATTTTTATATATTGAGTGAACTATCGTCAACATTACAAAATTTTCAGCAATGATTTCTATTCACTTTGTTGTCAGTTCTGTAAAAAAAGAAGCAGGAATCTTTTTAAACCTGTTTCGGGACTGAAAATTTCGCTTTCAATTATTTTTATTTCGAACTCCATTTGACTACAATAATTTTTATTATAGTTCACTTTCGAGACTGACATTTTCAAAGCCTGAATTATCGGTATTTCCAAAATATGCATTTCACTATTAAATATTCTTAATTTCTAATAAATTTTACTACAACTTCGAAAAAAAAAAAAATGAAAAAAGAAAAGAAAAAAGAAGAAAAACCAGATATGATAGTCGATGCCACTCCTTTAACGTAAAAAAAAATTTGTCTATTTCTCTTCATATTTGAGTTAAATTATCTGTGTTCCAATCCATTACTTGCTTCAAATCTCACAACTCAATTCGAATTTTACTTTATTTTTTCTCTACCATATTAAATTTTGTAGCATAGTTTTAGGATTTCACCACTTTGTACATATTTTACGTTCTCGAATTTCTACATGCCTATGTCTGTGCGCTTGTGATTTGCGGTCATGTTTCTTGGTTTGTAAACAAGTTGTTTGAATAAGGAGTGACAAAATGAAAGAATACAAACAAAAAGTAAAAAAAATATTGTACACTATGCTTCAAAGCATAGGCAAAGGAAAGGATGTAACGAGTTGAAAAAGAAACAGAATCACAGAATATTTAATACTTGAGGCGTCAAAGCGGCAAACTGCCAGATAGCTGGCAAAAAGGATTTGCCTTGTTGTTGTAAAATATATGAAAAAAGTAACGGAAATGTTTTGCGTTTAGGAAATGTATATGTATGTATCTTTTATGGTTGTTAGCAGCGACAAAAAAGTCATAATAATGACTGGGGGTATGGATAGCATATTTTAAGGCGCTTTTGCAAAGTTATGCCTTCATTCAGGCAGGAAGCGTACAAGTATAAAAGGAGTTTGTAGGCAGTCGAGAGAAAGTTTTGCCTTGTGGCAAAATATTTTTGTGGTTCATTTGCGAAAGCCGCAATGCCAAAATCTTGGTAATAAACAGT